CGAACAGCATCGTTCGTCAAATCAACCCCAATGAGAAGAAGAAGGAAAAAAAAAAAAAAAAAGGCTGACACAACACGACCATTTCTCACTTCAGACGAGAGCACGGCGAGGGGAATTGACTAGGGAAGAATAGGCCACCCGAGCCAAATTAAGCCACCTTTGTCCGGGCAGAGCAAGGCACGAGTCCACCATCTTTTGGAGTGAGACGGGCGAGGCACCTAACCAACAAAGAACGGCGGTCCTTTGCTGGGGCATCTCATTACGTTTGGCTTTGCGCTGACGGTGGATGCCTCTCTCCAAAAACATCCAACGCTTACACCTAACCCGAGTTCGTCTCTACCGCCTGCACGAGCAACTCTGCTGAACGAGGCTCGCAATAACTGACTGCTGTAGGCAGTCTTTTTCAGAACCATCGCTTCGAGCACATCAGCTTCGAGAGGATAAAAGTGCCGGACATAAAATTGCCCATTGCTATTTACGACATGCAACCCAGGCACGCTATCGGGCTTGAATCAGCAAGGATTGGTTGATGGATCTGGCTGGACTGAACATGGGGACGGGGGACTGCAACTTGGGCCTGGGTCTGAATGGACTGGTTTCCCAAGATTGATCAGCTCACCCCTCTGCGAGTGACCTTTCCCCGCCGCACCGGCGCCTTACGGACACAGCAATCGCTCGGGAGGCCGACCATCGCTGGTCCAGCGGCGGCCCAGGGCAAGCCCAGAGGGGACAAGGACACACCACGGGCCATGCTCCATGCTCCTTGTTCCTGGCGCCCGTCCGCTGTCCACAGCGTCGTCGTCCACTTCCCACCACCGGAGCGAGCGCGTGGTGCTACCTGGCAGCCCAGGCCTGGCAGCTTGTACGAAGTACCTTACACTGTGGGACTGCAATTGGCACTGGACACCTTCTCTCTCCTCCTGCGGCTGCGCAAGGTGGAAGGGGGCAAGAGGTACCTTCACTTCACCATCCATACCGTGCCCGCCCCGGTTGCCCACCCATGGACACTTCTTCCACTCTCCAACCAAACTCCAAAGTCTACGCCCCCTTTTCCGCGGCCCACCCCCAGCCCCAGTCCACCACCACATCCCTCCACCCTTCCTCTCCTCTTTCGCTGTCTGGCGGCGCTCTACGGCGGTACAAAGCACAGTATGGCGAAAGGTGAGCAATGAGGACGTGGGAGGGAGTGTCGTGGGCAGAGCGAGAGACGAAGAGACAGACGGCGGGAGAGAGACAGAGAGAGGAGACTGTGCCCCTCCCCTCCATCCCTCCTTCTGGCACCTTCATCCTAGTGATCTTGTTGCTAAAGCGGCCAATGAAGACAGATCCTCGTCCCCGACCAGCGCTTCTCTTTCATTCTGGCAACTTGGGAAAGGGCTGTCTGGTCTGTTTCGCCCATCGCTGGACTTTTTGGGTCCGTCTTCCAAACGTCCTCTGTCTCGAGCCCACAACTTTTGCTCTCACTCAGCTTCCGTCCATACAAAACAAAGCAACACAGAACACAGCACAAGAACAAAAAAGTTGAAGCCGGCCTGGACCTCGAAAGCCCTGTTGATAATCAGTCGACTAACCCCCCTAGAGCCCCCTCCAAAGGAAGACACCCTTAACCGTTCAATACCACCACTACCAGTACCACCACCACCTCCCACCACATGCTGTCGGCTGGCCCAGCTCGGAGCTACTAGGCACACCCGCCCACAGACACACCCCTGCTGAATTGCTGCTCCTCCCCAAAATAATATTATTTCTTGCGTCCGGAGGCTTGTCTTTGCGACTCACTCATCACCTGCCTACTTGTCTAACGCTGTCCAACAACACCACCAAAACACCACCGTTTCTACAAACGACTACGTTTCTACGATATTTTGCGAGTCACAAAGTGTTCGACCACCCGCGTCGAACCTGATCAGCATCGGTAGTCGGCAATGGCCTCCTCAAAAGTATGCCCGACTTCGGGATTCTACCCCATGCCCTGCCCTGCCTAGCTCGCTCCTATCACGCATCCGCAACCCAGTCTCTCGTGCTGATTACTCGTCGTCCGTCTTCAGGAAATGCAGCAGACCACGAGGCCATTGAACCAGCACCGTCCGTCGCTCTCGTCTGCCTCTTCTTCCGGACTTACCACCCGACAATCCCACTCGCGTACCAACTCCCACTCCATCCTCAGCGGCGCCCTCAATGCCAACCATCGTGTCACCCGCCGAAAGTCCATGACGAACACTGCTGCGAACGCGGCAGCCATGGCAGCGGCGATCAGAGAAGTCGGAGGGGATAAGGTCACGCCTATTGCCGTGAGCTCTCGCCGTAACACGGCGTCGAAGAGCGCTGCTGCTCGCGCCGCAATCGTCGGGAGCCTACCTTCTCCCCCAGCGAGCCTGCCAACGCAGAAGTTCCACTTGGACGGCAAAACGGAAGTCAACGAGAACGCAATTGAGGACGAACCGAACAACGCATCGGGCGACGAGGGGGAAAACAACACGCAAAAGGCTCGCATGCGTCGCGCTAGCGATGGCCAGCCTCTCGTCAAGGAGGGCAGCAGGAAGTTCAACCGCGTTGAGCTCAAGTGCGAGACTTGTGGAAAGGGATACAAGCACAGCAGTTGCCTGACCAAGCATTTGTTCGTTCCCTTCCCCATTCCCCGCATCCCCGTTCTCCAGTTCCCGTCCCGGGTTTCGAGATCCGAACGACGGACCTGGTATCATCAATGTAGTAATCGGGCGGTTTGTTGACTCATTCTCTGGTCAGGTGGGAACACACTCCCGAGTGGTCTTTGACTTCCAAGCTCCTCATCTCTAAGCACCAACAAGTGCAACTACTAGAGGCAGCATCTGTCCTTCTGACAATGAACCATGGTAAGGACGAGGCCGACGCCGATGCGGCCACGCCCCCGGATTCTGCCAAGGATTTCCCCAGTGACCAAGAGTCTGCCTCTCCGGCGGCATCTGGATACTCGGACGAGAGGCACAGCTCGGCTGATACCACTCCTCCGCCTCAATTGGAAGGTTTTGCTTCGTCGGATCGTTCGTTCGCGAAGAGATTTGGCTCTGGAAGCGGATTCGGTCGGTCGTATCAATCTGCGCCTTCTACCAACCCACTCGTGACGGGCAGCATGCCCCATGACTCAGGAATCTCCTCCCACTTCCGCCACAACAGCCAAGACCAGCGACCACCGTCGTCAGGAAGGAATGCTACTGGCCAAGAAGACCGCGACCTTGCGGCTGCCGTCGAGCTCCTGAGCTGCAGCTTCAACAGCAACAACGGGCGCCCGGTGGGTGTTCCCGCTGATGCTCCTCCCGTGCCTCCTCTGCCGGCGCAATACCTCGATCAAGCCGCATCATTCTCCAGTGCAGGATTCAGTGGTGGCTTCAGCGCAGGATTCAGCGCAGGATTCCTCAGCAGCTTCCCCAGCAGACAGCCCGAGAGCTTCACTCGCGGTGAAGTTCGCGGTGCCGATGTCAAGATGGAGGACAACGACAGTGTCATGGACGATGACGACTTTGACCGTCGATCTCGATCTCGAAGCGACGAGGACGACGATGGCGTTTTCGGACGGATGGAAGAGTAGCGCTTCTGCCATCGACCATTGATGCCGACGATATCTGAGGATATGAGTTCATGACCGCGAGGGGAAGACGAGGGGAGGAATGTTTCATTTGTACCACCATATACTAAACCCTGTAAATGAGGTGGTTCTGTCTCCGCCGCCGATCTCTCAGCACCAAGGAGTGGAGGGCCCGATCTTGCATCATCATGGCGAGGCCATGGGAGGGGGAGCAAGGCGTTGGGCGCCGGGGGGGAAGGAGATCGAGATTGCATCTCCACGAGGTTAAAGTGAGAGACGGAGAAGGCGTCGAGCGAACGCCCAAACTATCACACTGATGGATCTTGCGATACAAACGAGTGCGATGTCCACACGAATGGCCGCAAGCTCTTTTGATCGGTTTGACGCCAGCATAAGAAATAAAGAGAAAAAAAGATCAAAAACCGTCATGTGCAAGTTGTGACCTGTTTGGCCTTGATGACGGAGATGGTTGGCAATAAATGACTGGCTGTAGTCGGTGGCTCTTGTTTACCATGGCGATGGTTGGCTGGATTGATGCGGCAGGTTGGCAGGCTCAAGCCAGCAACAAACTTAACCAGGCAGCATCCCCGGAGCTTTGCTCCCGAAGGCGAAGATTTGCATGTGAGCTCATCAAGCTTTGAAGATCACACAGGCACCCAGGCAAGCACACGGGAGGCTGGTGGAACAGAGCGTTAGAGAGAGAGGAAATGTTTGGGCCCAAGACGCGAGGGAGGCAATTGGGTATTTTATGTTTCTAGGTTGGCGAGGAAGATGATGAAAGCATGCAGGAGAGGAGGAAAAAAAGCAGAGAAGAGAAAACTCTGCAACATACGGATCGAATAAACGGAGCAAGTAAAATTCGATCCTTGCGAGCACCCGCTCGCTGTGGAGTTTGGGGTGCTGCAGTGGGCGGAAGCACGGCGGTCGTTCGGGGGCCGGCGGTATGGGGAATGAGCAGACAGTGGCAGCAGCGACAACAAGCAGGACGGTCTAGCTGCCCCGGGCCGGCAGCCAGCTGATGCCAGCTGTCACAGCCTCCAGCCCAGCTGCCTTACCTAAGGTAATCAGCCATTGCGGGCCCTTTCAGCGTCGTTCGCTCTCACCACCTTCCTCTAGCTGATGTTTCCCCGGCGACGTCACCTTACCCGCAGGCACAGCTTTTTCTCCACTCGTCAACATCATAGGCCACGATTACCCGTATTGGTGGGAGAGGAAGGTCTCACTTTTTTCTCCCTCTTACCTTCTTGAGCTCATTCTGTCGCAAGTCGCAAACGGTAGCTGCGCTTCGCGTCGTCTTATCGTGCTATCGCCCGAGTTTTCCTTTCCTCTACCCCTCTTGCTGGGCGCATCGCTAGGTGCACTTACTCCTTTTAATCGGCTCTTCGAAGCAGACACTCACTCACAACACCTCCACAACATACCAAAAAAACAAATCACAATGCCTACTCTCAGGAGAAGAGCTGCCTCACGGCCCGTCGAAGACGTCGACATCGACGTTGACGAGACCAAGACTCGCGCGGTCGAACCTGTCGCGAGCAACCTCGAGACCCTGGCCACCGCGCCTGATGGACAGCTCGAAGCGCTCGGCGTCGTCAAGGATGCGACGGAGGTCACAACGAAGGAGGAGATCACAGAGCAGATCAGCGAAAGGGATCGCGACCACCAGCACCCTAGACGACAGCGCTCGCACCTGCCTACCGCGCTACAGTTCCCCCTCGTCGCAGTCCTGAGCTTCAGCATTTCGAGCTTGTGCTACAGCTTCCTCAGCGAGTGGAGTCGCGGAGAGCTGGCAGGCATCTCCAAGAGCCTTGATACCTGGGGAGAAGTCGCGACACTGGCGGGATGGAGAATGTGAGTTGTCCCTGAGCTCGTGCGGCGACTGGCTACGCGATGACCGCATTCAATGCGCGTTTACTGATATGGGTTGCTTTGGACAGATTCGAGCTTGCTTTGGGCTGGTTCGGTAACTTCGACAGCTACGATCTCGCTGCGCTCAACTTGCTCGCGCATGGTCCACCGGTATGTTCAACCTCGTTGTGGACGGTGGTTTGGAGACATCCGAATCAAGCTTTTCGGCGTACTGACGAGAAGTCATGTTTAGGTTTACCTCATTGCAACTTTCTACAAGATTAGCCCTGCCACTGCGATCTCTGCGCTGGGCATCGAGATGCTTTCCACCTTCGTGCCATTCCAGCTCCTTAGGCCTCTGTCAGGCGCGCACGCCGGCGCTAAGAACGTCGCCAACCGCGAACTCCTTTCCGACGTCTCGATCACCATCTTCACCACTGTCCTCGCGGCGGCCACCTACAGCGCCACCCTCTTTGTCTCGTACAAGACGTACCTGCCGACGGCACTGGTGATGTACTTCAAGGGCCTGCCCACCTTGGAGCCCGCCTACGGTTCCAACTTCGTGGCCACGCTCCCTGTTACATTGGCTTTCGGTATCGCCGCGAAGACCTACATCTTTACACCATTTGTGGCGACCGGCAAGACCACGGAGGATGGTAAGCTGGAGGAGTTCGACCCCGCCACGGCTACGCTGGGCGAGACCCTGGCTTGGAACCTGTGGGGCTACACCACACGCGCAAAGGTCGTCATTTTCCGCACCACGGTGGCTATGATCTTGACGGGTGTCAACACATACTTGCAGACTTTCATGACGGTCAACGGCGTAGAGTCTTATGGTGCTGCCCTTTACGCCGGTGCCTGGGTTGCTGCTGCATTCCTCACAGGCGTCGGCCTCGGCTTCGTCGGTGGCGGAGAGGCATAAGTGTGGGGGAGAGCTTGCCTCACTTTGTACTGTAAACTAGGGGGACGGCCAGCTTGGCGGGGCAGACTTGGGAATTGCTTTTGGGTTCAAGAGGAGTTTGTCGGGCAACTCGTCATCAGCCACGGGCGGGTTTACTGCGAGCTGCTTTTTGCAGCTTTGTAACGGGCAGAAGAGGAGGCTGGCCATCTGTTTGGGACGGACCACGGGGACTGCGAAAGGTGCACAACATGGATGTTGCGCCTTGCTCCGTCAGTCATCAAGCTTCTGTATACCATTTCTGCTTTTTTTGCTTTTCCTTTTCTCTCTCTCGTATCTATCTTGAGTAATGCACAACTCAATATCTCTTCAAAAGCTGTGTCTCGGTGTGGGCTCCCAGAAACCGGTTTTGAACGCAGCAAACCTGGGCATACACTGGTCTCGTCGCTACGATCTTGCCCTTTCGGGGGTGACGTGCCGGTCATGATGAACCCGCAGTCAGCCTCGCCTGGACAATAGAGCTGGAGGCTAGTCCATATCAATCGGCTCTGTGCAGCGCGCTAGCGGGAAAATGTCTCTGGCGCCTGATTGGGGATGGGCTGAGGAGGAGTTGAGTTGAGTGGTCGGGCAGCCGACGTAGGGCTGAAAGGGTGGGGGGTAGTGGTGGTGGTTGACGAGCCCAAGAATGCGACGACGCAAGAGCCTGGCAGCCTGGAAAGAAGGAGCAATTCATTCGGGCTTTGTTGCGGTGTCTACGCGACATGGGCGGCGGAGAACGCAGCTGAGGCACTCTTTTTCTGCCCGCTCTTAATCAATGCATGTTTTGGTGAGGCGAGCTCACTTTTTCTTCGTTGGTTAATGTAGCGAGGTGGTCGGACATTGGGCATGCTTTTCTTTGTAAGGGTGCAGGCGAGGCTGCGCCCTCCCCCTCCTCCCGGTGACCGAGGAGGCCGGGTCGGGATGATTTGCGCAGGGCTTGATACCGAAAGGCGGGTACTTGGACTGTGTTTCTTGTCAGGCTTTCTTTTTGCGGGTCCCACCGGGGTTTGGGGAGGGAACTGCCCAGGGGTTCTGTTTCCCGGGTATTGGTGATGAACTGAGACTATGGAGAGGAGCGTGTTCAGGTGTTCATGGGGGCGCGGACATGGTCATGGTCACGAACGGGATGGATGCTTGTTCCGGCGTCTGCCGCGCTTGGGGAGGCGTGGGTGAGGGCGGGATGATTTGCCCGGCGCAGGGCGGTGATGTGCAGCCGGGGTCATGGTGTTTGTTTCTTGGGATGGTGGTGACGATGATTTGCCTTGCATTTCTTGGGACATGCACATCTTAGCGCAGGTGAGCATGCCTGTTCGACGTTGCGTGACGGTCGATCGGATGCCTATCTGGTGCTCTCGGGCCCTTGCTTCTGGTGGTGACCGGTCATGTTCTGCGTGGAGGTGGGAATGGTCGAGGTTGACTCTTGCTGGGGTTCGCGGGGGGAAAGGGGAGTGAAATTGCGTCGGATGCAACCTGGAGTGTTCAGCTTTGCGTGCTTCTCTGTGGGTTGTATGATGCGGCTGAGGCGTTTGTCGGTGGGATATCGATGACTTTTCTTCGAGGACGGCGTTCTTGAGGAGCGTGGGGACTTGGGGATCTCCATATATGAGTTTGGGATCTCCTCGAATAGAGATGAGATTTAGAATGAGCATCGTATTCTTCTTTCACGGAGCATTATTCTCAACATTATTCTGCATTTGCTGCTGCGTGTCTATTGATTCTCCCAATGTCTTCTTCCAGATCCAAGAAGTCGTCCAGGAAAGGCCAGGAGAGCACGCGAGAACACAACTACGAAGAGCAGTACGCATCACCGGCGGGGACGGACAGCTACTCTGCTTCCTCGTCGACGACGGCACCAACCACTGCTGATCCGGGGACACCCAAGCAGACGGTGCTCAAGTCCAAGTCCATCAAGAGCGAGGGCGAGATCACGCTCCAGGGACCCATCGAGGTTGCTGGGTCGGTGAGGTCGGGGGGTAATATCACGTTCAACGGGGACTTTGACGTCCGGGATAAAGTGGAGGCGTATGGAGGGATTGAGGTTAATGGAAATCTGTCCTGCGAGTAAGTCCCTCGGAGAATTTGGGCTTGGAAAAGTTGGGGTGCTGATGAATTTGCAAGGGGCAAGATGAAGGCGTATGGCAACATCAATGTGGCGGGGTACATGTCTGTCGGGTAAGCAATACGACCGGCTTCAAGCACTTGACTGACTGGAAGCTGATGAAGATGGTCCAGTGACAAGGTCAAAGGCTTCGGAAAGTTGAGAGTTACCGGTACATGCGAGGCTAAGGAGCTCGAGATTTATGGCAACACGACAATCAATGGCTTTCTGTAAGTCCCAGATGTGCCCTTTCTCTCCGCGTGGCACGACAGTGATCGTAATGCTGACAGTGCCGCGATGCAGAAAATGCAAAAAGATGACGTTGTATGGCACCCTCACCATCATTGGCGAGAACTCTGGGTATCAGGCCGAGGAGGAGGAAAAGATTTGGGGTGCGATTATCAGCCGCGAGGAGGAAGCGCGCTGGTGAAGCATGGGATGGGATGTGTGTAGTGTAACTGAGACATGCATGCGAGCGTCTTCCCGGGGTCCTGGGAGACGGACGTGGGATGCAGGGGAGGTATTCGGGCTAGCTGAGTTGGAATTATGGGAAACGACCGGCGGGAAACATTGTTTGTACGATATGGCGTTGGGAGGCTTTTGTCCGTTCGCTTTCGGCATTGGGAATGGCGCTCTTCAATGGGCTATTTTTAGACACATGTTGAATTGGAGTGTCCTCAATTGAATGATGCTTCCGTAGATTGAAGATGTCGTGTATATTCAAGAGCCTACAGTCTCGAGAAGAGGAAAACACGTCTGCCTAAGAGTGCAGCTAAACGGTCTCAGCTCTGAAGTCGAAAGCTGCGTGTGACGATCTCGATTGGCATTGTTGATCACTGACACTAAAGAGTCACCTGGTTCGGCGAGGTCCACCGTGACGGGGAGATACTGACCTGGCCCGTGCTCGAGCCGCCGTGGAGCCCGGCGGCAGCCCGGGTATGGAAATTGTATGTTCCGACGACGTGCACAGACCAAGTCAAGGTCAGCTCAACAAGGATCTGTCAGTGGATGTCAGGGGCCCCGCTACTTCCTGCTAGCGTCAGGAAGCTTCCCAAGCTAAACTGGGCGACGCTCAAGGTCGCGACTCCCCTCGTAAACGCGCCAGCCGACAACATCTCAAAGTATGCGCAGCATCGAATTGCAGCGCAACCAACACCCACAACCGCAATTCACGATACAAATGCATTCATAGGGATCAGCCCCACGAAGAAGCGGCCGCAGAGACATTTTCAGCTCAGCAAAGATGGCCACCACCGAGGAGCGCGCCGGAGACGCCATGGACGTCGATGTGTCGCCCAAAAATAAGACCACGGTCGAGCACGACATCCGCCAGTCGCTTGGCTCCATCAGCAACTCCGTCGAATCTCTCGAGATGCGCGCCGATCCCGATGCGCAAGCCACCGTCACCGACTTTCTCGACTTCACCGAGTACCTCCCTTCCGATATGATGCGATCCCTTACCCTGATCGGCAAGCTCGACCAGACCTATTCCGAGGCCTCCCTCAACGTCCACAACCTCACCTCCACCTGGGGCAAGCTCCCCAGTCTTCCGGCCGACGAGAGGCCGTCTCCCACACAGCTGCGCGCCGATATCTCAAGCAGCCTCAACCATGCTGTCAGCTCGAGGGTGTATTCGCATGCCGAGGCGGTGCGCATGTCAGAGAACGTCAACCGGCATTATAATCGCGCAAATGCGATCCTGGCGAAGTTGAAGAACATGATGGAGAACTATCCCGCGGAGGAGCAGAAGAGCCCTGTGGCAACGTCCAAGTCACCGCAGATGGTCAGAGCACCTAAGATGATGCGGACCGGGGATGGGGAGAAGGTGCGGCGTCCACGGATTCCTAGGATTACTGTTCCTGGTGAGGTTCTTCCGCCGTATGACCAGTTTGTGGCCTACTCGGATGATAGCGACGAGAGCTCCTCCTCCGAGGACGAGGAATCTCTTCCACCCACCCGGTCTACGCCTGCACCAAGAATCAAGGTCGTCAAAACACCCAAAGCAAGACCTCCAAAGACTCCGAAAGCACCAGCATCGCGTCCTCCCAAGGTCCACACTGTGCCAGCCACTCCTGCCGCTGCGTTGCAGCCGCCACCGGAGAACGCCGTGATAGGAAGCACGGATGCCCCCTGGCTGCAGCTGACGCCCTGGGAGCTTGCCAGGCTCAGGAAGCGCATGAAGAAGAACGCTACGTGGAACCCAAGCGATACTATGATATTGCGAGAGCTAAAGACACTTGGTCGTGGTATCGATGCCTACAAGGAGGCAAAGAAGAAGGCCGAGGATGAAGGCAGAACCTTTGATCAGGTTCCGCCGGCTCTTGCGCCTGATGCTGGATCTGAAAACAAGCCGATTCCCGAGGGCGCTATAAGTGCTGCTGCCCTCGCATCCGACGACATTCAGCTGAGCAACAGGGGCATGAAACTAAACGAAGCGAAGAAGTTGAAGCGGGAGTCGTTAGCCAAACAGGCGGCCGAGGAGGCTGAGGAATCCGCCCGGCAGTTCAGAGAGGCAGCGCGGCTTTTAATGTCTAGCGACAAGCCACCCGCACCGTCAGTTGCCAATAACGAGCAGACAAAAGCAGCGCCCAAGTCAAGCTCGAGGTCTAGGGCGAAGGCGATTGGCAACAAGCGGAAAAGAGACTCCATCCCAGAGGCGGAAGCTGAGAAGCCAGAAGTAGTCGAGACGCCAGCGCCACGTCCGGCACCGAAGCGCACGAAGACGGAGACTCCGGTCCCGCTGCCGAATCTGAGAGCCAATCTTGCCTCTCAGCCGTTGACCGAAACTCCCATTCCGCCACCGGTTCTCACGCCAGGAGGTTCCGCTGCCACGCCCAAGATGACTACGCCGGTGCCCATCCCTGTGCCAGGTCAGGAGCATGCACCT